GTGTAGATATAGAAGAGCCGATCTAGAGGAACAGAAACAGGCGTCAGGCAGACCGCTCTCAACTGCCTGAGGAAGTCCCCGCAGGGTTTGTTTTGTGTTTTAGGCTTTGTTCCCAGCGGCTGAGGAACGGCTTCGAAATGGTGACAGCACAGGGGACAGCGAGCTGTCAAGGCCGACTCCACAAACGTGGAGTTGCAGCCCGACGGAGAATCTGCACGTTGACCGTAACGGTAAATACAGGAACAGCGTAACGAAGAGCCTGCAGAGCTCCGAGGACACGACCTGTGTACCTTTACGCAAATTGTCCTGGGACTAGATTAGCTCTCCAGGTCAGACATTAATTCCAAATCGATCGAGAAGAAAGGTCTCAACCTGCGCCTGACGGTAGGGCAGGTATCTATAGCTCTACGATTAAAAAATATAATCTAAAGGAAAAGCCTCTCAGCAGCATCGTTCCTCCTACTGTAAACAAAGCACCCAAACGGAGTCTCACGCCTCAGGGATCTCAGATACGCTCAATTGTCTTAAAGCACGAAATACAGACCGGAGGCCAGTTAGCATCTTCCTTTCTCTCTCCCCTGAATCCCAAACCCAGCCACACTCATCCTGGCCACAGGCAAGGAAAGACTTTAATTACACCCGAGTCAGCTGCGGGGGAAGGTAAAATGGGCCGTTACAGGCTACAGAGGGATCAGATGGACTCGCGGAGCTAGGGGAGCACGGGGTAAGTCCCGGCAGGCCAGCTGCTTCACCCCACAGGCATTCCAGCGGCTGCGCTCCTGTCACGGAAGAGTTGTCCTTGGGAAGGCACCAGTCTCCCTCCCTCAGGTACTAAACACGTTAGTCAGGTACAGCTCGGGAGTCTCAGACAATGAGAAACTAAACCCAGAGTACCCTGGAACCAGGATTTCCCCCCCCACCCCCTTTTTTTTTTTTCTCTCCTTTCTTCTATTTGTGAGCCCAAACTGGGTTGATTTAATCCCTCCACCTTGCCTGGTTTTCTCGTTTTGCTGTCACCTAGCCCCGCTCTCGCACACATCGCAGCGAGAAACAAGAGTCGTTGATAAAATTACCATCTAAACCTTTGACTGGAATCTGAGTCGGGAGCGATCTCGATGCGGCACTCAGAAGAGGATCAAGATGTCTGGTCTCCACAGGAACGACATTCGGGTTATAGTCGCCGGAGCAGAACTTTGCCATGTTCTTCCCCAACATCCCGTTCACTTCCGATATTGCTGCAAGACAAAGCAAGTCGCTTTTGCAACAAACACAGCGCTCTAGGCAGCGGCAAAAATAACCCGTGTAACACCCTGTTGTGCCCCAAACCCACGGAAGGACCTGAAGAACGGCTTTAAACTAAAGGGAGGAAGATTTAGACTAGACAGAAGGAAGAAATTGTTTACGCTGAGGGTGGTGAAGCACTGGAAGAGGTTGCCCAGAGAGGTGGGGGATGCCCCATCCCTGGAAACATTCCAGGTCAGGCTGGACGGGGCTCTGAGCGACCTGATCTGGTTGAAGATGTCCCTGCCCACGGCAGGGGGGTTGGACTAGACGACCTTTAGAGGTCCCCTCCAACCCAAACCGTTCTACGATTCTATGGTTCGAAGAACCAGGGACTCCTTTAAGATACTTACGTCACACCCGTCCAGATAACACCCGCATCAGTGCGGTCAGACTGACCTGGGTCCAGTAAAAACCCTAACAAAAAAAGCCAAACCTACGCCAAATTGCCTCTCCCCGTGACCCACCACGCCACGATCTCCAAATGATCTACAGCGGTTTCAAGGAGATGATTCAGAATAATAAACCACCAGATCTAAAAATAACCGTCGGAACAGGGTTCGTTAGAGAAGTGGGGATGCATTTAAAACCAGCATCCACTGACGAACCTATCCTGCGGCAGAAAGCACGGCATTAAGCAAAGGGTATTCACAGAGCGAAAAGAGAAAAACAAGCCCTGCGGCAGGAAAACACGCCTTGCGGCGCGTATCGCCGCTTCTCGACGAGGCGCAAGACTCCCGGTGCAGCGCCTCCAGATCCAACGAGACAAAGGCAGATCAGCGAGCCCAGTCTGGGCACCACGAAACCAGGAAGACGCCGGCAGATGAAACCGAGCTACCGACCGCTCTACTCAAAACACCGCTCCTCTTTTAGCCTCAGATACTGACTGAACCCTTCTGCCTTTTGTAATCCGGAGATTTACCATCTTCCCTAGCTTTTAATACGGCCAGCTGCCGTTTTGTTTTTAGTTTACTCGATCTCTGCCTTGTTCAGGCCCAAGCGAGCAGCTCACGAGCTGCCCGTAAGGCGTACGAACACCCAGGAGACTCACCTGAAGACAGCTCCCCTCCGAAGATCACGGCTTTCGCACCCGACGTCGTGACGCAGTAAACCAGAGAATCCAAGCGCAAGTTGAAGTTGATCAGCGCCGCTTCGATGCCGATTTTTGCCATCCCTAGCCAGAGGCCAACGAACTCGGGGCGGCTCTCCATGAAGATGGCAATGACGTCCCCCAGCCGGAAGCCTTGCTGGTAGAAGTAGTTAGCCACGGCGTTGGAGTACTCATCCAGCCTCCTGAAGGTCCACTGCTCACCAGTGGCTTCGTAAATCAGGGCCACTTTGTCGGGGTGCCTGCGGACAACATCCTGGAACATCTTGGGGATGGTGCTTTTGGCTTTTTGATGCCTTCGCAACTTGTACTTGACTCGTAGCAGCACCGAGAGGCCGCTGCAGCAAAGAAAGAGCGTAACGAGTTAATTTGCAGCACAATTTCCGGATCAGAAGGGACGTGGGCAGGAGACACGTGCTCCACGTGAGCGTCCCGCTGGCATCCCCCTGTCCTTGGACAGCTGAAGCGTTACCCTGAAACTGGAACTTGGAATCACCGCTGCTCTACAGAAAGCGACGGCTATTTTAACGTTATGGCAAAGAAACAGCCTACAGCAACTGTTCCGGTACTTTCCACGCTATAAACCACAAGGAATCCATCTTCACATTGATAGCGACTCAAACAGGCCCACAGAACACGTTAAAGAGGGCAAATCACATCTTTTAACGACGTCTTCTGCCGTCCTAGAAAGAAGGACTTTGCAACCACTGCTTTTACCCAGAAAAGAAGCAAAACGTACTTCAACGTGGGAAGCGTCTTTCTCGCCAGGACATTTTGCAGCATCTTTGTGCTATTTCATACAATTGCAGCCCTCGGGACCCAAAAGCACTTAAACGACAGAGACAACCCGACCCTTTGACAACGGCGCGTGGCCTCGGCTTCAAGAAAACAAAGCCAAAGGCTTCCCCTTCCACCCGCGAGACGAGAGGACTGCCGGCGTGCTGCTCGCAGGCGCCTCTTCCTGTGAGTCAGTCTCTGCCGCAGTCCTGGGACGATAGGAAGCGAGGCTATCTAAATACTACCGGGCCGAAGCCATAGATTTTAATAATAATTAATAAATAATAACAATAATTCTTGGACGGCAAGCTCCTTTAAAGATGGTGGTGCCTTATGAAGAAAAGAATTGCCGCCTCTGTGGATATTTGATACCACGAAGAGCAACTACTCCATAAAAGAACAAACCAGACTGCTCTAATGGGGCTTTTTTTTTTTTTTTCCCTTCTGTAACGTATATAATTATTTTAAGTCTCCAAGGCAGCAGCTGCAAGTTAAACCTCGACACGGTTCAAGCTTGATGGCAGCAAAAGTTGGTGTCTGAACTTCAACTGTCTCACGTTGTCCCGGAGGAAACTATCTTTAGAGGCGCGTTGGCTCTCTTGCTTGGGCTATCAGTTAGATACAAAAATAAATTTATTGAAGTACACTACCATAACGCCGCCACCAAAACGAGGGCAGCAGGTCTGGGCGCACGAAATGGATCCCGTTTCCTTCCCAGAGGTAGGAAGATGGAGGCGGTATTTTTCCACCATTAAAATAGGAAATCGTTGCACAACAAGGGCTTGGAAGAATCCCCAGAAACTTGAAAGGTCATTTAATATTAGCACTTAAAAACCCCCGCAACTCTCACGACTGAACGTCAAGGGCAGGAGCCTCGCTCAGCAAAGCCTCGCAGAAGGGGGAAGGGTGCGCTTCAGAGACAAGTTGTTGGCAATGGTCAGGCCGAGCCGGGCTTTCACGGTGACCTTACACCGCGCCGTGCCAAACGCAGAACAGAGGAGCCTTTTCACTGCTGAGCTGCACTTTCCAGATACTTAAAGGGCTTTATTCTGCCCAGTTTATTTTCTGTCATTATTCCCAGCTTGCCGGGCAATCGGGAGGAAACAGCTCTTCAAAGCGCAGTGACAGCCACGGCGAAGCTGGCAACCGCAGGAGCCCCAAATCCTTTGGAAATAAAGGCACATCCTCACGGAGGCCTAAAAACTGCCCAACTAAATGCAACGGCGGCAACGTCCTCCCAGGAGATGGGGAAGCTGCTGGAGACTTGCCGCTCTTGACGCCGCGAGCCCCTAGTTCGGACTAGGCGTTTTAAGATGGCTCTACCCTCTTTTTAAGCTCAGGGGGTGTGGCGGCAGGCATCGCCCCGCGACTCCTTCCACGGGTCAACCGCGGCGAGCGTCCCGCGGCCCCCCCCAGCCGTTCGCTCGCTCCCTTTGAGGCCGAGCCTTTCCAACCGCCCTCTGCGCGCGGGCAGGGCAGCGGGCGCTGCCCGCAGCTAAAACCCGACGCGCTTCGGGTTTAAAGGCAGCGAACCCAGCTCGCCACCGGCCCTCCCCCCCTCACGCGTG